TTTGTACACCTATATCTTTACCTAGCCAGCATAGGAATTAAAAGAGGTAGCGGGCACTAGAGCCAAAAGCAAATAATGTAAGTACTCGCGTATAAATATAAGTTTAATTCATTATAGTATCTATTCAATAATATATTTAATTAACGTAATATTTTTGTTAAAAGTAAAGTTAATATTTTGAAAGTCTTTGTAAATTTAGAAATCGGGCGTGGTCAATTTAGTAGACAAGTGATTTCGAAGAAGCAAGTTTTTAATATATATTGTTTCCTTTTATAGCTTACATTGAACGAGTAAGACTGAGGACTCGGCGGACTTTGTCCGAGAAAACCCTCTTCACATTGAAGGGGTGGGTATTTTAATATATTTGTAATTATGCTGTATTTCTATATAATATATAGATTGGATGTAACAGTTGTAATATAAAGATTCAGCTATTGTAACTTATGTAACTGGCTACGGCCAGGTAGTTGTTTGACATGTCTTAGCTTATGTGATTGTATAAATGTTATATGTATAATAATATGATGTATTTCATGTTACAGGGTTTTTACTTACGTAATAAATTAACTGAGAAAAGAACCCAGGAGTTGTCGTATACATTTGTATCCACGATAAAAGACGACTATTACATTAAGCATGTTTCGTCGACCTTTTGTTTGTCCATACGACCTATTCTGTGTTGATGGGCCATTAAGAATGCAAGAATACAAATGGGTCTGTGTTGCTCACCTGGTATTAATCTCTCATTTATAACACCCCTACAGGTGGAAGATCGAGTGAAAAAGTAGAACTGTTGTTTCCCACTGCATGTATCGTAAGAGGCGACTAATGTGAGGCCCCTGCAGGATTGGGGATTTGCTAAAGGGACAAAAATAAATCGGCTGCATCCATTGCAGTATTTGAGATCTCTGTGTTTCTTCTTTCTGTTGACTGCCCTCGAAGTCTCTCAGCTGCATGAATTCCGGGTTACGTCTTCGGATTTCCACCACAATCGTATGGAATGACATACACTAGCACTTCCAGCATCACCATTCACTTACATGCCAGGTTTTCCGAAGGTTCTGAAAAATGTGTAATTGCCATTTACACTGACATTGGGGTCAGTGATATCTTTGACCATGATTGATGTCAGACTGGTCTGGCGTGAGTATGCCACTTTCATCCAACCAGCGTTCGATAAGCCATTCTTTACAACATTTCCGTTTTGTTTTAGTCATCATATGTGTGGAATCATTATACATATTGTAATAGGCGACAAATGGGTTGGTTTGGTTTATATTTGTTTAACATCCTAATATGAAATAGCCACTGCCTATAAGCGAGCGCACATAGTTCAGTAACCTTTGTGATGATAGTGTAGATCTCGGGCGCCCCAGCTAAGAAGTTAAAGGTAACAAAACGAACAGAATCCCTCCTTAGGATATACGTGCTCTGAATATTTTTCCATGAAAATTAAATGAATGGTAGTTTTAAAAAACAATGTATTTTAATTTAAAAAAAATGTCGGATATTCCATGTAGGCCTTTTTGTTGTTACTTTATTTTATTTTACTAATTATGTGTGCTGTGACCCATATCAGTATAGCATATGACGTATTTCAGACATTTGTAACGAACCCCTGTAATTGAACAGACTGACTTGAGGCAAAATTGCACCAGGGTGGGGAGGGGGAGTATGTTATGTTATGACACAGACACGAACGAACTGACAAAGTAGGCTACACATACTTATTTTTAACCCACACATGTATCTCAGGCGGCTCATCAGCATTGTCGTTGATCAACAAAGAAATTCTTCGTCTGACCGGTTCTCCTTTGCACTGAAGTGACAAGACTTGCACAGGCCTAGCTTTCGTGAATTTTTTCAAACTTGGTCAGAATCATCCTTGGTAGATGGGGCTACCAAATTACCAAACACTAGGGGCCAGGGCGGGGCCCAAAAGGGAAAATTAGCCAATATTTCAAAAATCTTCTTCTCCAGACTCAGAGGTATTACAGTCATTTTCTCCTCTGCATGGATGGAAAGATCATCAGGGGCTTTATTTAAATTGTAAATTTCAGGACCCCCGAGCTATCTGTTCTCCCTTGGGGAGGGGGTAAATTTTACTATAGTTTATATAGGGAAACAACACTTTTGGGTATATTTTGACAATTTTCTGTTGGAAATTATTTTTACTTGGTCAGAATCATCTTTGGTGGATGACGGTAACACATTGTAAACTTGGAATTCCTGCCCCATCCCCAGGGGTTAGAGCGGGGCCCCAAAGGGAACATTTACAAATATTTTAAAATTCTTTTCCTTAGATGACATGACAAGTATTGTATTTCACTTAGTTTACATGCTGATTTCCACATCACATCTAAACAATAAAATAAAGCTACCCGTCCCTATGATATAACTCAGGTGACCGCTAAGGCCCTTGGGCCTCTTGTTTAATATGCTATAAAAGGCCTATCCCACTTTTTAATTTAAGATTGAAACACACAAATATATGAGCATGACATGAGTATGGAAACAATTTCCCACTTTGAATTGGCAGCAGCCCTGAGCAAATTTGACGTTGAGGCGAGGCCAAAGTCGACGGAAGAATTGTACCATAAGATCACCCTCATAAATATTATGGCAGGAATAAACAGAAATCTAGCGGATCTTCAAAGAAATGTTGACATTGTTAAGGATAGAGAAATCAAAAAAGCTAATGGTGTTTTAGGCGGACTATTAAAAGAAAGGAAACGCACGGGACAATCAAAACCTGTTCAACACAAACAAATTATAGAAGGAGATGATTTGGAAAAAATAAGCGCTTAACTGTCACGCGCACCATCCTGTCCTGTTATCCTCAGTCACTATGTGTGGTACAATTTATCAATGCATTTCGTGACGCGAGGTATGGAATTCCATCACCAATTACGCACTAATACGTTCCGGTTTCCAGATTGTTTTACCAAGGAGGCAGAAGCATGATCTGTATCTCATCCAGGGTCACCAAAATTGATTTAACAACTTATATAGGGACTGTTAATAATTACTTCCATGTTACTAAAAAGGTTGAAACAATTCCTATGAAAAAGTTTACAGTTACATTATTTTAAAACAACTTACACCTACAGAGGCCGGAGTTTCAGTACTTTGACAAGCCACTACCTTTCCCATAGACTACATTTCACTTACCCAAAAATCCCTATGTTAAAAAATTATGCATTACATATTTATAATCTTCTTCCATGTGTTTATCTTCATCTGTATCTTCACCCTTAGTTGATGATGTCTGTCCAACTTGAGGAAAGTAATCCCACGTTGTCGGCAGCAGTAGGCGCATGACGAACTCGCAACTCATCTTCCCACGTTGTCAGCAGTAGTAGGCGCATGCTGAATTACCGGAGTTGGGTTCATTAATGATATATATTTCTATTTTTATTTATTTTTTATTTCTGTAAGATACACGACTTGGGACCTTCTCCATCTATTCCAGGACTTCATCTAATCTTCTATCTCTTTTTTCAGCTGCTGTTTCCAACGTCTTCAAGACAATTTCTTGGATTTCAGTACCTTTCTTCAGATAGTCCTTACACATCTGAAAGTGTCCTTGTTGTACCCTTTCAAGTGAAGTAGGTTTAAAGTTGTTTCCACTAAAATGGCCATCACCGGGAAGACGGAGGAAGTTGAATGCAGTGACGAGTTCTCTTAACTCTCTCCCTGCTACAGTGATCCCCAAGTTGGCAAAAATAGCTGCCAATTCCGCCGTCTGCCGTTGACCGGGTGTCAAAGATGAAAATTCAGGAGGAGGCTAGGTGAGATTTTCTGCAAGTTGGAAAGGTTTTACCTGGCTCCAGTCCTTCTTAGCAGGCGGAAAAATTGGCATCGCACCTCTCCTCATTAATGAGGTAACCCTTTCCTTAACTTGTACAGACATGGGTTTGTTGAATCTTACTGACTTCAATGGACCAGGAAGTGGGCAGATCGGAGATCTGTCAAGAGGCTTGTTTGCTGGCTCTTCTGCATTTGAACAGCTACCCCCTTCCGCAACCAAATCTCCGATCTCCACATCGTCCTCTGTCTCCCGCCAGGAACTTCCCATGATGGCTGTAACCTTCGGGGCAGGGTCTATCCCTGTTGCCCAAAAATGTGGATGATGGGACCTTTTGTGCATCAGGAAGCGATCTGGTCTGCTGGTGGGCCAACTAAACGTGCGTGCAGGCTCGGGACAATACTTCTTTGTCCATGGACGTCATTGCGGTGCTGTCTTAGCCCCTTCACTGTGGTGTAGGTAATTCCCACACAGTCGGCACAATTATGCAGCGTCATTTGTCTTCCACACAGGAACAGGTCCCATAATGGCAATAGCTACCAGCTCTAATGGTGCGCCGGCAACATATTTGTTCATTTCCCCTGTATTTTTTCGGTTGAGCTACTCTTTTCTGACAGCTTTCACAAGATTTGCACCATTGTTCCGCACTGTTGCTGAAGTTGACCCAAAAGAACCGCAATTTCAACCTTTTCACTGTACGAGTAATATCTAGGTTCCACCAGCAGGATCATTGTGCAGCATACGAAGAACTTTCTGGAATTTGGCTGGCAAGACTAATTGTAATATTTCTTTCTGTAGGCCATCTGTCCATTTTCTATATAAAACTCCGTTAATTAAAGTCAGTTTGTCCAATTGAGCCTAATAGAGCGCGCGTCCGGTGCCCATGTCTCACCGGCCGCCGTCGAAGAAGTATGGGGTTAGCATTTCATCAATATAGTGTGCTTCTAGGATCCTGGATTAGCACGGTCTTATTTGTTATATCTCTTCTATGTCAGGTCCGAGAACAATGGTCAGAAATAGTCTAGTAGTCTAATTAACTATGCGAAAACTCTAAATATCAACCAAGAGCCTAATTGACAGGTACAAATATAATTTATTAAAGGAACAAGTTATATAACAAGGTATCTTTACAAAGTACAGATCAGTATAATATTACAATACAAACAAGGTATCAACACAGGTCCTTGCACCGGACAATAACAAATGTAATTGACGAATTGCACACAACTTTTCCAAAAGTATACACAAATTGACTGTATTTCCTGTACAAATGTCCCACTAATCACCAGAGCCTATTATTCGAAATCACCTAAATTATATGCAGACTAGAAAAAATACAAGAAAGCTTCAATTATTCAGATAATTTGTAATAATATGACAATTCAGCTATTAATAGCCAACTAACGGGATTTCCCCTTGTATCCGATGACAGTGTCTATAAATAGAACTATAAATGACGTAAACAGTCAGCCTAAACCCAAAGTATGAGAGATTCCTAAGTCTGACCTGTTCAGAGGCGACCGTCTGCCGCGGTTTTGTTAACAAGGAGGATTTAAAATTCTGATAATAAACCTCTGTGGAAAGTGTGAGGGAAAAAATATGGCAGTGTAGCACACAATTATTACAATCTAAAATACATTACAATTTGCACATTTAGCAAAATTGCTAAAAAGGCATGTCTTAGGAGAATGCATGTTACTCGATAACTATTATAGATAGAGTCAATACGGATATGTCGTTGTGTTCATAATCTCATTTTCTAGACATCTAAAGGGTTTTCAGAGAATTTTCAGAACAAGTAAGTGATGTATAAGGTAGCAGTCTACAGTAGAGGGTTGTGGCCATGGGTGATATTTTTGTTAAATGGCTAACCCCTGTATAATGATAATAAAAATAAAAAATATAACTACTAAAATTGGTATAAGCATGATGAAGTGGGCTATGTGAGCTTCACATTTGTAAAATAAAAAAATAAAAATTTTGGTTCGAGACCAAACTTTTGGCCATATTCCGAAAGGGTGCTTACACATGAAAAGCTACCTTTACAGGAGGTAAAATTTTGACAACAGCACACGACGCAGAATTGCAAAAAATCAAGTTTGACAACTTTACTGGGACCCAGAAGGTAATCTTTAATTTCAGACAGAACTTAGGAAAAAAAATACTAGTTGCA